TATATATATATATATATGTATATATATATATATATATATACTTCTCTGTGTTTTATTAGAACAGTATTTTGAGTGTTTTACAAAATGGCAGTGTAAGAGCATAGCGGAACATTAATGTACCAGGTCATAACTTGGGAATGAAGATACAAAATAACAAATAAAAAACATTTTCTTCATCTAAGACATATATATGAAATAATTAAACAAAAAACAATTGTGCAATATTAAATTTACTCCCCCTGAAGGACTGTTAAGAAAATTGCACTTTAATTTTAAGGCCGTTCAATAATACTTTTCAGGAGAAGGGTTATTCAATTTATTCCAGGTATGTGTTATGTAATTTCTGGATGACTCATTGGGTGAGTGAACCTTATTTGTATTTTATTACTAAGTACTGAGCTACATGTTTTACCAAATATTAAGTATCTGAAATAAATGAGATAGAATGTGGGGAAAAGATATTTACAATTTTTTATTTAAATTAGCATAATTTTTCCAATAATTATTGAGAGTATTTACCATGCCTTTTTAGGAGATAAAAGAAAACTGTAATTAGCAACAGCCAAAACTGCTGAGTTGATAATATTATTCTCAATGCATCGTGCAGGACCTCTATTATATACAATGTCAAAGAGAAATTACAGGTCACCATTATATATGAAGAGATGTATTTTCATAATCAAATGTTCATTATAATTTTATTTATACAAGGGAAAATGAAAAGCAAATAACATACATACACATGATATGCTTACAAAAATAATAATTAATATGTTGTAACTCTTGATCTTGAATCTGGTTTAAATGGTATCACTCGCGCAACTTTTCTTGAACGATGGATTGAAGAAATGCGGGTTGAGTAGGGGTATTACTTACGAATTCGGCCACTAGATTTTATGAAGCAATGCCAATCTCTGGAGAATCAGTCACGCCTTCGTAACGCTCTTAATTATTTGCGTTCTAACTTTCTCAGGTGTTCGAGGTATCTCCTGTGATATATCCGTACCTGCTTCGGTCATTTCTTTGGATTTTTGGAGAAAATAACCGATAAAAGTTCTCGTCTTTGAAAGAAAATTGTTTCCTTTTCTCGCCAGTGAAGATGTTTTGGAATGTTGTCATCATTGCTCGCTGCGAGCTTTTGCCTTCATCTGTTTATTGTGCCAGAGAGGGGGAAGCAAGGTCATCGTTCAAGAAAAGTTGCGCGAGTAATAATAAATATTATTAGGCACAAAACAAATGAACGCTAATTTCATTGAAAGATATTTAATATTGATTGGTGATGATTTAAATAACAATTTAAATTGAAAGGTTTAAAAAATGACTTATTTTATTTTAACTTTTTTCCTATTCATCAAGATTATTCTAAACTGTGGTTTGTTTACAGCATCTCATGTTTTAACAATAAACTGCACAAACTAAAAAAAAATTAAAAAATAGGAACCATTTTTATCGGTAAATGGATCTTTAAGAAATGAAGCATATATAAATTCTTAAAAAAAAAACAGAAAAATGTATAACTTGCAATATCTTTGATTTACTAATTGGCGTCTTAATTACAATCCATAATATTCAAACAATATCCTTCTCTATTTCTTGTTAAATATATAATATACTTGTATATAATATAAATGTTTTTGCAAACTATCATCATATAATATGTACGTGTATATTTGGTATAATTAAAAATTAAGTATAATGTATTTTTTACATTTTATGTCTTACTTTGCATAAATAATTTAAAAATTAAATCATATTCTCAAAACTTAAAATGTATTTTAATCAAAATTTTCAAAAAAATAAATTGATGTTAAATTTATTAAGTAAAAGCATCTCTATTTACACGCTAATAATAAATTATACATCAGAAACTATTCAACGTAAATATTAAAATAACAGAAAGTGCTTTATATAAAAATTTGCCTTTTTTAAAGTAAGAATTTTTACATCCCATTTGATACTAATATCAACAGGTGAACTCTTCACTTCCAGATTACAATTATTGTTTCAACCACTACTCCCCTCAATGCCCCTCCAGGAAACCTCAGATCCTTCCAGTATCACTCACAGTACAACGATTGCTCACCCACGCCAAACTGCTCAGACAACAACGACTATTCCAATCCCAACCACTACTCCCTTCACGGCCCCTCCACGATACCTCCGTTACACCCACAGAGCAACAATTGCTCTCCCAAGCCAAAGTGCTCAGACAGTAGCAACTACTCAAGACTACCAACACACGATAACGACTATCACCCAAAACACGTTTATCAATTAATGATAAATGGAATCCCAATAAGTCAAAAATGAAAACACAGTAGGTAGATCACTCAGAGAGAAATAATAATACTCATACAATCAATAACTTACCTTACAAACGGTTCCCTTACAGCCAGTATTAGACTTTGCTCTTAAGAGGGCAATCAAAAGCACTCCTAAGTGGCATTGTGTGTAGGCGCCCTTAGGTATTCGTGGGTTAACACATTATCCAGGGCATTCCATGGTCCATTACTGATTAGACCCGTCGAGGGATGTCCTATGCAGCAGCTCTCGTATGAGAGGCGTGGCAACGGAGGCCCAAACCACCCACGCCGTCTCTGCGCTCACCTTCCGGCCAATTGCCGACACGTTGGGGTTAGCTCCTGCTCGGAGCAGGCGCTCCACAACAGCCATGTGGCCAGGTGGTATATTTGCCCTCGGTCCTAAAGAAACGGCCACATCAGTTACGTTCGATTTAAATATGCAATACATAATTACGCACAAGAGCGGGGTCTGGCCGTCATATACAGATTCAATGTCTGCTCCAGCACGCAATAGCGCCTCGAGGACGAGAATGTTACCAGCTTTTACCGCCATATGAATAGCTTGTTGTCCTTTGCTAGCACTTGCGTGAACGTTCGCCCCTCGAGTCAGGAGAAGCTTTGTCGCTTCTTCGTGTCCACTTCTCGATACAAAATGAAGTGGAGTGAATTTATCATTACCAACAGATTCTATGTCAGCTCCCGCACCTAATAGGATCTCAAGTATTTGAGTGTGTCCACGAATGGCTGCCAAGTGAATAGGCTGCCTTCCATTGCTTGCTCTTGCGTGTACGGCCGCCCCACGGGACAGGAGAAACTTAGTCTTTTCTTTGTGTCCCATTCCAGATGCACAATGAAGTGGAGTGTTTTTATCATCATCAACAGATTCTATGTCAGCTCCCGCATCTAATAGTATCTCTACTATTTGAGTGTGTCCATAAGTTGCTGCTAAGTGAATAGTCTGCCGTCCATCGCTAGTTCTTGCGTGCACGTCCGCCCCTCGCAACACAAGATGTTTGGTCGTTTCCTCATGTCCTCTACCAGATGAACAATGAAGAGGAGTGATTTTATCATCATCCACAGATTCGATGTCTGCACCCACATCTAACAGTATCTCTAGGATTTGAGTATGGCCACCATTTGCTGCTATGTGAATCGCCTGCTGTCCTTCGCTAGCTCTTGCATGAACATCCGCTCCTCGCGACAGGAGACGTTTGGTCACTTCCTCGTGTCCACTTCCAGATGAACAATGAAGTGGAGTGATTTTATCATCATCAACAGATTCGATATCAGCTCCCGCATCTAATAGTATCTCTACTATTTGAGTGTGTCCATGAATTGCTGCTAAGTGAATAGCCTGCCGTCCATTGCGAGCTCTTGCATGGACGTCTGCCCCTCGTAACAGAAGACGTTTGGTTGCTTCCTCGTGTCCACTTCCTGATGCACACTGAAGTGGAGTCATTTTACCATCAACAGATTCGATATCAGCTCCCGCATCTAAAAGGATCTCTACTATTTGAGTGTGTCCACGAATTGCTGCCAAGTGAATAGGCTGTTCTCCTTTGCTAGTTCTTGTGTGGATGTCCGCTCCTCGCAACACAAGACGTTTGGTCGTTTCCTCGTGTCCACTTCCCGATGCACAATGAAGTGGAGAGAATTTATCGTCATCAAGAGATTGGATGTCAGCTCCTGCATCAAATAGGATCTCTATGATTTGAGTAAGTCCACAAGTTGCTGCTAGGTGAATAGCCTGCTGTCCATCGTTAGATCTTGCGTGAACGTCTGCCCCTCGCAACACAAGAAGTTTGGTCGTTTCCTTGTGTCCTCTTCCAGATGAACAATGAAGGGGAGTGTTTTTATTATCATCAACAGATTCGATGTCAGCTCCCGCATCTAATAAGATCTCTACTACTTCAGTGTGTCCACGATTTGCTGCCAAGTGAATAGGCTGCCCTCCATTGCTAGCTCTTGTGTGGACGTCCGCTCCTCGTGACAGCAGAAGTTTGGTCGCTTCCACGTGTCCACTTTCAGATGAACAATGAAGTGGAGTAATTTTATCAACCACAGATGAGTCGATGTCAGCTCCCTCATCTAAAAGGACCTCTAATATTCGAGTGTATCCACGAGTTGCTGCTAAGTGAATAGTCTGCCGTCCATCGCTAACTCTTGCGTGAACGTTCGCCCCTCGCGACAGGAGAAGTTTGGTCGCTTCTTCGTGTCCACTTCCAGATGCACAATGAAGTGGAGTGATTTTGTTATTATCAACAGATCCTATGTCAGCTCCCGCACCTAATAGGATCTCTATGATTTGTGCGTGTCCACAAGTTGCTGCTACGTGAATAGCCTGATGTCCTTCCCTAGCTCTTGCATGAACATCCGCTCCTCGCGACAGGAGAAGTTTGGTCGCTTTCTCGTGTCCACTTCCAGATGCACAATGAAGTGGAGTGATTTTATTATCATCCACAGATTCGATGCCTGCACCCACATCTAACAGGATCTCTATAATTCGTGTGTGTCCATGAGATGCTGCTAAGTGAATAGCCTGCCGTCCAACGCTAGCTCTTGCATGGATGTCTGCCCCTTGTGACAGGAGAAGTTTTGTCGCTTCCTCATGTCCACTTCCAGATGCACAATGAAGTGGAGTGATTTTATTATCATCAATAGATTCGATGTCTGCACCCGCATCTAATAGGATCTTTATAATTTGAGTGTGGCCTCTATCTGCCGCAATATGAATAGATTGGTGACCGCGACTAGCTCTTGCGCGGATGTTTGCATTTCTCTGCAGGAGGTACGTGACAGCTTCCACACTTCCCCATGCTGTTGCCCAAATAAGTGGAGTACAGTTTGCATGATCTGGTGACTCAATGTCTGCTCCGGCATTCAAAAGGGTGTCCATAATATCTTTATGGCCATCTTTCGCTGCTACGTGTATGGGTTCAGCCCCTGCGTTGTCCTTCACTTTAGGATTAGCATTTTTACTTATGAAGTATTTGACCACTTTCTTGTGACCACGACAACTAGCGACATGGAGAGGAGTAGAACTGTGAGAATTACAAGCGAGGGTAACATCTACTGACAGATCTACTTCAAAAAGTTTGTCTATCACCTTTATGGATCCATAATTTGCCGCTAATCCCAGAAGCATGCTTGATGGTGATTCACTTCTTCTTTGTAGAAAACAATGGAAAACCTGAAAGAAGAAGAATTACATATAATCCTAATTGTGATTTTTAAAAGCTATTAAATTCCAGTGTCACAGGAAGAAACGTCAGTGTTTTAATATGGCGGGAGGTAAATAAATAACCTTTCGCAAATATATTTATTAACAAACTATGTTAGTTCCAGACATAGACTGATAAATAGTTAGTTCATGTGTTTGAGGAAGATTATTTCTTTCCTCCCATTATATTACAATAATGTAATTCCACAATATTTCTGTGGAAATTACCGAGTTACGTCATTATTTTAGGACAGAGTATGTCATTCTAAGAAAAAAGCCAAAATAAACGTCTCTTCCAGATTTTAATTCTCCATCAGAAAGAATCCTGTTAATATATCATGATAATAAATCATGTTTCATAGACATATATTACACGAACGTGCATGAAAGCGGTCTATATGCTAAGCACGCACGGCGTGAACAAAATCTACACTAATGCCTGGATCCTCGTACATTCCTCAGCGTGCAAACAATCTCTGAAACAGAATCCTGCTGCCTTTCAAAACGTCCGTCTGTTTATATATCTGTGAACTAGTGCCTAAACCATGCGTAGGAGTTTTTCCAAATTAAAGAAACTCCTGTCCATCTGACATAAGTCGAAGCTTTGAGATTTTGAAAACATTTCTTAAAATTTGTGGTTACTTTGCATGAAGCCCCAGGCACATTTTCAAAATTTTCCCAAAAATGGCTCTAATATTTTCTTTACGTTTCTTGTTAGAACAGAGTTATGCACTTTTAAAGGTGGCATATGTTCGATTTTCACGGGTAACTGAATTTTTGAAAATTGCAAAAATTTGAATTTTTCTCCCGGAGTCTTCCCACGGAGCAATACTACTAAATGCACTCCACAAGATGCCATAAACGCTACATTGCTCTATTATTTGGTTTTTAAAAAATTACAAAAATATAATTTTTTACTTCTCTCGCCTTGTTAATATTTACATTGGCGGCAATTTCTTTACATAAATGTATATAAGAGTACATGCGATTAAATAAATGTCAGATAAATAATTGTCGAACATTCAACAGTTTTCTGTGAAAACTAGCTCAAAATTCCGCATTTTCTGAACCGTCCAAACGCAATTTTCGCCAAAACGGCTCCAAATTGTTTCTTCAAACTTTTTCAACATGTGCTAATTGCACTGTTTGAGATGACATAGAATTAATTTTCGGTATTCATTAATTGTTTTTAACAAATGTTACACAATTGTATTTTTTAATTTATTTCTCCCGCCATTAATATGTGCATTTCTTGCGATTTGTAAACACTATAATATTTGTGTCTGAAAGTGCTTGAAATGACTTCAAATGAAGATTTTCCAAAACTCACTAGTTCTTTGTGTAAAAGAGGTTCAAATTTCAAATTTACAGTAGCGCTTAAACGCCACTTTTTTTAAAACGGCTCAATTTTTTTTCCATTAAAATTGCCATTTATGTCTAGGTTTAACTTTTCTTAAAAGAAAATAATATTCTTAAAATAATATTTCTGTTCTACTATTAAGAAGCCGAGAAATTATGATTTTAAAAAAACTTTGGGCTGCGATAGAAGGCAGCTGGCAAGAGTATGTGGCAAATCCGAGTAGCTAACCGGGACCAATGGAAACAAAAAAAATAATACGGGAAAGTTTGTGCCATTTTATAGCATTACTAGCTTGTTTTTTTTATATGCTCATTGTAACGCTTAAACAATATTTTAAATCATTTTTTGAAAAATATATTATGTTATTCTAACTGCCATTCATTTACAATTGATTTTTCACCAAGAAAGTAATCTCAAAATGATAGCAAAACGAAGTAAATTATGTGAGTATACCTACCAAACGAAAACGCCTCATGTTCTAGACTATGTTCAACTGTAGACATTCATAAAGATTTAAGTTTACGCCAGTGAAATTGAATTAATGTTTTATGGGTTACATTATACTCTTAATATTCAGTTAATATATTTTAAATATATTTACGTCAAAAACGATTATGAATAAATAGTATTCGTTGATTTGATGTTACAAAAGCATGATATACTCTTTTAAGAAATTAGACCAGAAAGTAATCATGATTTTTAAGATGTTTTTGCTTTGGTATACTGTCTTAATAAATTCAAAATAGTTAATAAAAATAGTTGATTACTGACATCCTTTAATAAAAACGATGCAATATTACAATCTTGTGTTTAGCACCACACGTAAATTTGTGATTACATTGTGACAACGTATCAGCCCTATCTGCAATTATAATACTTGGTGTCCAAACCAAATGTGTAGGTATGTGTTGTCATCTATTAACAACAAACATTTCTAATACGACGTAAACAGCAATACTACGTGAACTGTATGTAAGAGTCCGTCATGTTCTCGCTGATTGTAATTTCAATTTACGCGCTATGGTTCGAATTGCGCATTCTCATTGGTGGTTGCCACTCCTCGAATAGGTCTCATCCCCACCCTCCTTTGATTCCTGGATTTGCACTCGAGTGCCTCGCTCCCGGCTCCCGGGGACACCGAAAATGCAAAAGGCTGTGCGGGCCTGGCCTAGGAGAATGGCCCCCTGCCCTCCGCACCGGCACTGAGGGCGGAGCAGCCGCTAAGTCGTTCGTCCCCTCGCGAACCACGCGGCTGGCAAGCGACGCGAGTAAGAGACTGACTGAGAACAGTGCAGCGTAGCAGTCACTTGTATTTAGACATACTGGCTTATGACAACTCGGCTTCCTCTCAATGTACGATTTAGTGGAATGTGGAAATAAATGTATTCGTTGTTGGTTTGATTGTGTAGTAGCCATGTACCCAACAGTTTTAATAAAAATATTAAACCCAGCGAAGAGGTAAATTCTATGCCCAAGCGCACAACACAGCGAACAATAAACGACTCACCTCAGGGAGGTCAAGGACAGTAGCTGTAAACAAGGAAAACCAATTTTTCTCGCCGCAGAGATGCCCACGATCGGCGCCCGCAGCTAGCAGGCGTTCCATCGCAGGCACGCACTGCGCTGCGTAGGCATACTGCAACGGCGACCAGCCCAGCATCACGTCGCGGGCCTCCACGCTACGACACAGACACAAAAGAGAACTGCACACACTGGCTTTGGAGATTGTCAGAGAATTGTCGATAGGGTACTCTGAAGGCGCTCAGACAAGAACGTTCGAAAACAGACGTACTCTGGGATGATTGATCCACAGTCGGGTTGCACGATTAGAAATGGCCGATGGCAAAACCAGAGTATTGGGGAGGCTATATGAAATGGAGAGCAAGAGACAAAGATCTTTCGTATCCATGTGCAAAAGACAGAAGTAAAGCTATTAAGATAATCTATTGAATTGAAGCCTTATTTTACGTGGCGAGACTCGGGCCATCAGGCCCGCTCAAATTTCGCTACGCTCCTTTCACCAACTAGCAGAGGAAAGAGGTATTTTTGAGCGAGAAACAGGCGATTTTGAATTTAGCTCAGAGACGTCATTTAGGCTTGAGGATCGTTTACATGCAAGTAAATCTACTAACATTGGACTGCCGGCTTTACTTCTCCTCCAAAGGAAGGCGTATGAAGGATTTTTTCGCCCTTAAAAATCCACAGCTTCGATCGGGTTTGAACCCGCCAACCTGGGTATACCAGTCCGCTTCAGAATACGCTAACCGTTACACCATCGCCGCCGCCTGTTAATCTGTTAAGAAATCATTTACATTTTCCTTTCTGTATGTCAATTATTTTAAGAACGTTCTAATTGGAATGGAAGCCGTTTGGAGATTGAACTGATGACGTCGGAATCCACCCATGTCCGATCGCGAACTATTTCCTCCACCGCCGTCGCTGTTTCGTTGCGCGGGGTCCAATCGGAGAAGTCCGCTTACTTGGCTCCTCCGCGCACCAACTCGTCGACGGCCGCGCTCCTTCCGTAGGCCGCCGCCAGATGGAGGGCCGAGCGGCCGGCGGCGTCGCGCGCGTCCGCGGGCTCGCCCCGCGCCAAGGCCTCCTGCAAGGCGCGTGCGTTGCCTGCCAGCGCCGCCTGGTGCGCTCGCAGCCCCTGGCACAGCCTCAGGTCGAGGAACAGCAGCACCGCTCGCCCGGCATCGCCCTCCAGCAGCGCCTGCAGCAGGCGCTTCGCTGGCGCGCTGCGCTTGCCCGCCAGGTTGTCGTACAGCCACGTCGACACGAAGAACTCGATGAAGCTGAAGTGCACGAACTGAGGTTCCCCGCTCTCCGATTGCCAGAGGATCCCTGTTTTCTCCTTCGGAAGGCTTCTTTTGAACTTTTCAAGCTTCTTTGCCAAACCCGGGACGTCGGCTTCAGAAACGAAGGTACTAAAAATCTGCAAGTTTAAAAACAGGGAAGCTGATTATAAACGTGTTTTTCAAACATGAGAAGATTGCAACTAATTAGAAGTTTAAGCATCGTTTTCAACACACAGATAGAAAATGAAATATATTGATTTTTATCAAATACTAGAACATTTTAACAACTCAGTCAATCCGTTTGTGCACTCCTTCCGTTTCTAAAAAATCAAATCGATTAGCAAACTAAGAAATTGCTTTTAAAAGCTAATTACTTTTCTTTCATCAATCTGTTTCAATGTTCTACATAACATCTTTAGCAGAGGCGGGATATTTTAATATAGAAATTAATTCAAAATTGAATGAAAATTCTATTTTTTATTTATATATCTGTCACATTTTAATATTCTACATATTCCCTATTCTAGTTCATTTCACGTTTATCAATTTTCTTTTAACACAATAAACGCGATGCTATATCGGGTGCAGTGGCAGCCCAGATGACGAATAGGGTACCAACCTTGCAAAACGAGGGGACATCTCGTGTGTGACACTGCCTAATAAAATCGCCTCTGGGGACGGCGCAAAGAAACAGCTACGAGAACGGCTAAATGAGTTGTTATTGCAGTTGTACCACAACCAATACTATAAGATATGAAGGACATGGAGCAACAGTCGACGAGGAGAAGGAGCCGCAGAACTCTGACCAACAGAAACCATTTTCTTTTGTCAGTTGTTGTTGTTGTTGTTGTTGTTTTTTAATATATATTAGAGGACTTTCTAAATACGAATGAAAAACTCTTCCCAGAAAGAGCGAAGCGCTTTCAGTCTTTGAATACGAATTTAGAAAATCAAAATATACAGAAAGTGTCATTATTTCTTAAATAGGTAGAATCAAAATGAAACACATATGGGAATATTTTTACGTCTTTCGAAAGCTTTTGACCTCATTGATCATAATTTTTTGCTCTCAAAATTACCTTTGAATGGATTTCGTGGTATTGGCTTAGAGTGGATTTTCGCAATTTTTTCTCAAAACAACTCTCCAATTTTTTCTTTAAATTGTCTACACTTATGTAATAAGGAGAGGATAAAAATATGGCGATAGTTCCATTATCAGCTCGGTTTTTCAACAATTGCAAACAAATTAACTACAAAATTTAAGAGAGATTTTTGTCTCAGATAAAATATGTTGTATAAATTAGCTCTTGAAAAAAGGTATTGTACAATTTTTTAAACACTAGTGGATTAATATTTTACAGTATATATTCGCCTGAAATTTACGATTTTTTTCCAAAGAACACCCCATTTTTTTATTTAATTTTCTTCACATATGTAATAAGAAACGGTAAAAGAATTATGCTAGTCCCATTTCTTAATACTGCTCGTTTTTTTCTAAAATAGCAAAAAGTTCAAACATCAAAATTGAAGATGGAGATTTTTCCCTCAGACAGTCTGCTGTACAAAATTAGCTCTTTAAAAATGGTCATGAAAAATTTGTTGTAAAAGTTACTAGTTTTTTTTCGTAATTTCCGCTTGAAATTAATGAAGCATATGTGAGTGTTCCGTCGTACATAATGATAACATTGTAAATAGCGAGAAAGTGTGTGCTGTTGTAGCACCACTTGTTTGAATAAATTTTGACCTCCAAAAGCATATAGGCTGCATATAGACAAGGTAATGGTAAAAGTCTAAAGAATTGCAAATATTTCGCACATAGAAACAGAAGATATGCAAATAATATTTCTAATTGTAGGCCACAGTATTCTGAATGCTTTTTTTATTTTAGAATGTCGGAATAACCCAGAGTTGAGAAATTTAAAAAGAGTAAATGTGCACAGACGCGAAAAATAGCACACGGAGTAAAACGAAAATGGCCACCATTTGTAATAAAGGTACAATAAAAAAGTACAATTAAAGGTGTTTTTGAACAGCCAAAACACAAAGAAAATGTATGTAAAAAATATGAATTTTTCGAGATGGTCGAGCGACTAATTCATTAAATTCTGGACCACTTAAAATGGACTGATCCATGGAGTGGGAGCACATAAGATATCTAAATCTGCAAAACTGTAAAAGAACCGTCAACAAGGACGTATTTGGTAGAATACTGCATACAGAATAATATTCCGGTCCAACCTGTCTCCTTTCATTTTCTCACTGTCCCCCGTCTGTCCACCCCCACCCGAACTGACTCCACATCATTTCCCTATTTGTCATCTACCCATCCCTCAAAACACAAATTTCCCTGTACTAAGAAAATTCGTGTCCCCATGGCACGCGCAAACCTGGTCTGAAAGGCCTACGACGCATCTCTTCCGAATAATTAGCGATCATAATTGCAGTAATATTTTGTTTTTTTATGTCTCAATCTGCAAACTTCTATTGTTTCTTCTGAAATTGTTCGATGTAGTACTGGGGTGGGACCGAATTGTTTTCTAATAACTTCCAAACATTATTGCCTTTCCTAAGCGTATGATACACTTCTACAAAGAATTAGAAAGCTTTAAAAACATGATAATTTGTAACTACATTCCAAAGTCAAAATATTACTGGGTGCTACATCAGTGAATACATACATATAATAAATACAAAAATAAATGCACAGTACTATTGTAGACATTTTCAAACAATATTTAAAAACGAGGTGATTTCAAGGCGGAAAATGTTTAAAATGTTTTGTTTTTATTTTTATAACTGCAGCCCAGTAATCGAAAAATAGTAAATAAATTCACAACAATTTGTAGTTTGAGAGGAACATTTTAGATTTTTTCCAGCCTGTTCCAAGGTTCTAAAACATAATAAAAATTGATGGATTTTTTTTCAAAAAGTGTTTTTGCCTTTGAATTTGGCACTGAGAAAATAAAAAATAATGTTTTTCTGATAGTATGAACTTTTTTATTATTTTACAAATATTTTCAGTCAGATAAAATAGTATAAATTGACGATAAAAATTACAATTAAAAAAACTGTTTTTGGGCATAGCTGGGTGTGGGTGGTGGGACTGGGTTAAGAAACTTTTCAAAATATTATTTTTATGTTAGAGTTATAGTGTAACTACTCATATGTCATTTGGTTTAAGGGAACGTTTTACCAGCTTATCCTTACCCTTTTGTAGTTGTAAGAAGACGCCAAAAGAAATTGAAATTTTCGAAATTCAGAATTAACAGTGAAAAACTGTCTATGCCATCTTTATAAGTGTATTTTAGTCTAGTCTTCGCGAAAACTAAAGACTAAATTTGAAGCCATTTTAGAAAAAAGTTTGAAAATGTACCTGCAGCTTCATGAAAAGTACTCCCAAATTTTACAGAATTTTTTTCAAAATCGCAGGGCAAATACTGCATGTATCTACTTATCGAATCAACACGTAAAGTGTACGTCGTTAACTCACACACGTGTCTCGGTTCTGCGTGACTGTGGAAGTGTCCATGAATAAAATGAGGCAAAACTAACTTAAAGGAAGAAGCAGTTCAGTCATCAAGAATTAATATTTGAGTTTACGTTATACTCACCTTCAGGGCGAACGTCTGATGAAATCTCATAAAAAAGTCGTCTTCAAAATCTGTGAATCGGGCACTGGAATTCACGTGCGTCATGCCATGTTTCTCTTCAAAATGTCTGCGCTTCAATTCAATAAAGCGATCGAATATTTGCAGTTGATTAAACTTCTCCTTTAGAAGATTGCTTCCAGACTGCAGAGCGTCGCTTGCGGCCTGAGAGAAACCCTCCTCTACCATTTTCAGATGAAGAGGAGTTTGCAGCAATGAACTTCTATTGACAAATTCAGTTTCAACGGTACTTAGAATCTTAGAGAATAACTCGCCAAGAACCCTGGATGCACTTTGATTGCCGCTCTGCAGTTCTTCCTCCTCATCTGAAGTGCGTTCGTGAATTCCAGCGAGTGCGTTCAGCAACATTTCCAAACCACGCTCGGGAGAGGGCACCACGTGAATGCGCGCCACTGCATCCGCCAGCTCCTCCGCCAGGGGCAGCACCGTCGCGGCCGGAACGCCCAGCCGGCTGGCCCACTGCTGCGAGAGGAAGCGCAGCTGCTGGGAGCGCTCCAGCGGCAGCAGAGAGAGCGGCGCGCAGCGCAGCAGGCGGCTCAAAGACGCCTCCGCCTGCGGGGGAAACCTCTCTTAGCCACGTGACCCCCCCCCAGAGCGACATTATAACTCAACAAAATACCAATACGTCATTATTATATACGACGGGTTCAAAAAGTTCCCGGAATGGTGGCTCGGCTTTTAATGGTATAACCTATGGCAATGGTAACCTAACTACTTTCTAAGTAAGACCCTTGAGCATTCTTACAATACACGTACTGGTAGCTCCAACGTTCCTCCGAGCTCAAGGCGACCCAGAGGATCTCTTTGAATCTCTTGTTACCTTAGTAGAAGTGTGGGAAGTGACTCACCTCTGGCCTGGAGGCGACCCAGAGGAACTCTTTGAACCTCTTGTTACCTTAGTAAGCGTGTGGGAAGTGACTAACCTCCGGCCTGGAGGCGACCCAGAGGATCTCTTTGAACCTCTTGTTACCTTAGTAAGAGTGTGGGAAGTGACTGACCTCTGGCCTGGAGGCAACCCAGAGGCGCGCGCCGGGGTGCGCGTCCTGCAGAAAGACCTCGAGCAGTCGCATCGCCTTCTCCTTGTGCACGGGCATCACCTCGTCCACGCCATCTACGTAGACGGTGATGGCTCCGCTTTCAAAGAGCGCCGCCTTTAGGCAGCGACGCGCCGCCTGGTCGTCAACGACGCCGCTAGCGGCCGCCACTATCTCCAGCAAGTCGTCTTTTGTGAGCCCTACGCCAAAACAACCAATCGTCAAGCAAGATCTATGATATGAGTAAATTCACCAGATGCTTACAAAAGATCTCACCAATATATGTACAACATGAAAAGATGTGCGTGGGAGAAAAAAGGGGTAAGAGATTAATACGAAAATTGACAACATTAATAATGAACGGAGTTATGAACAGGGAAGTGTGTATTACAAAGAACAATTGCCACACACGACCATACTTTCTAAGAGTATAGCAGCCCGCCGTGTGTGTACGAACGCACCTGTGGCCGGAGGCATCTGGCGGAGGAGCCGCGTGTGCGCCAGCAGCGGGACGACGACGTGCCAGCGGGCGGGCCGGCGCCGGCGCGCCTCCGCCGCCGCGTGCGCCACGAAGCTCGACTTGCCCGCGCCAGGCTCCCCCAGCAGCAGCAGCGCGCGCGCCGCCCACGCGCCCGCCTCCGAGGCCGCGTGCACGCACGTCGACCCGGCCCCGGCGCCGGCCCCGCACTGCGCGCTGCCGCACAAGCACAATTAGGCGCACGACGCAGAGTGGCTCTGGGAGCGAACCTGCACTGCGCGCTGCCGCACAGGCACAATTAGGCGCACGACGCAGAGTGGCTCTGGGGACGACCCTGCACTGCGCGCTGCCGCACAGGCACAATTAGGCGCACGACGCAGAGCGGCTATGGGGACGACCCTCCACTGCGCGCTGCCGCACAAGCACAATTAGGCGCACGACGCAGAGTGGCTTTGGGAGCGACCCTGCACTGCGCGCTGCCGCACAGGCACTATTAGGCGCACGACGCTGAGTGGCTATAGGGACGACCCTGCACTGCGCGCTGCCGCACAGGCACTATTAGGCGCACGACGCAGAGTGGCTATAGGGACGACCCTGCACTGCGCGCTGCAGCACAGGCACAATTAGGTGTACGACGCAGAGTGGCTAAGGGGACGACCTCTCGTTGGGCGCTGCCGCAGAGGCACTATTAGGCGCACGACGCAGAGTGTCGCTGGGGACGAAGCTGTACAGGGGCTTACGCGCAGGCACAATTAGGCGCACGGCGCAGAGTGGCTCTGGGGACGACCCTGCACTGCGCGCTGCCGCACAGACACTACTAGGCGCACGACGCAGAGTGGCTCTGTGGACGAAGCTGTACGGGGGCTTACGCGCAGGCACAATTAGGCGCACGACGCAGAGTGGCTATAGGGACGACCCTGCACTGCGCTGCCGCACAGGCACTATTAGGCGCACGACGCAGAGTGGCTAAGGGGACGACCCCTCGTTGGGCGCTGCCGCAGAGACACTATTAGGCGCACGACGCAGAGTGTCGCTGTGGACGAAGCTGTACAGGGGCTTACGCGCAGGCACAATTAGGCGCACGGCGCAGAGTGGCTCTGGGGACGACCCTGCACTACGCGCTGCCGTTCAGGCACTATTAGGCGCACGACGCAGAGTGGCTATGGGGACGACCCTGCACTCATCGACGTAGTCGAAGCAACATTAGGGACCGGCGAAGAAAGGCTGTGAAAGCGACCGCGCTCTAAGCGCTGTAGCTGAAGTACGATGAAGTGGCTGAACAAGAGTGGCTGTGGGAATGACCCTGGATAGTGCTTTGGGACATGCACAAAATGACTACAGATCCTGAGAGGTCGTGGGGACGACCATCCACTCTGCTGTAGCATAAGCAGTATTACACTACTTACACAGAGTGGCTTGGGACACCACCATCCACTGTAAAGACAACCCTGCACTTTGCGCTGTACGACAATTAGGCGTCTCCCACAGAGTGAGACTAGAGAAGTGCCTGCACTCCGAGCTGTAACAGAAGCACAAATAGGCGTCTGACACAGACCGGGTGTAGGGAGAACCCTGCACTAAGTGCTGTAGCACACAAGAGAATTATATTTTTCCGAAACGTGGTTACAATTTAACATCATCTGACAGCGTAACGTACCTCTTCACTATGTGTACAACATCTTGGAAGTCAGACGCTATCATCAACAAAGTATTTGCGTTTTGACGGGGATGAATTGAAGATACGGTAGACGAAAACATGGATGGATCGTAGGGGAAGACCATGCGAGCGAAATGGACGAGAGACCTAGAAGCCTATGGTAATGACAACGTTAAGGCTCCTCCTAACAAGACCTGCAAAAAATCTAATCCCGCAGACAATGCAGTTTCGTCTAATTTCTCGAATCAATCTTAATAACCAGGAACCTTAGGAGGTTTGGTTAAAAATCAAAACCAGACAACAAAGTTATCAAAGTTTGAAATATTCTCTTGAAGAAGAAATGTAAGAACTTTGAAGTCAGAAATAAAGGTATAACGTACAAGTGGTATTTGAAAATCGCAATTATTTTAATCTTTTCGTTAAAGACAAAGACTCTGCACAAGAATTAGGTTTTGTTGACTGTTTTATAAAATGCAGAAAAATAATTATAGACGGATTTTCTACAGAATATTTTTGAAACTGAAGAAGTCTCCCAGACAGAAATTGAAATTTTAGAAATAAAAAGGTTAAACTAAAAGAATAAAGATATTCATGCTTGCAGTGGTGAAGAATAGTTCCAGATACAAACTGTAGTGATTACTTTGGTTGGTCACTTGGTTCTGACTGAAATCTATGTATTCCACTTTCGAAATCAAGCAGAAACTTTTGGACCTCCTCCAATGCAATGTTACAAATGTTTCCACTTTGTGCATTCAGCCAAATCCTGTAAACTCGTTTGCGAGACAACATACGTGATAAGGTTGAGCTACTGGCGGACCTCTTAAAGGGACAAAGGGCGTTCCCTGACTTGACGTGAAGGTAATGATGAGTGAGGTGCGAGCCCTTTAGAAACGGCGACGCACGGCCTCCTTAACCGAGCAAATCCGCGGGCTTCTGCATTCTCACAAGGAAAGAAAAGCGACAGTTTAGGAGTGCGGACGAGATGCGCGGGTTAATTAGATACGCCGCACATGCGTCCGAGAATGGACAAGGAAGGACAGACGGATGGTGGCCGGGATTCATCCACTCTGGTTCGTACACGAACAAATAATTTGCAAAATAAATAAATATAATACTAAAATAAATCTGAAACCAAAAAAATGACAAACAAAATTAGAAGATATTGAATAAGATAAGAACAATAATCCAAAATTAAAGTTACATTGCAATCAAAGATGAAACTCGTTAAAAAATCGATTATAGGTTAAACAATGCATAAGACGTAAGTACAAAAGGTATAAAATAGAGTGGAGAGAAGTTACCAAAACTTGTTAAATTGTGCATATATTATTATAAAATGTTACTAAACATAAAAATCTTTCAAAAACCCAAACTCCAACCATAAAAAGGGAAAACTGCATCAGGTAACATCAGCCCCATTGCAGCACAAAGTGTCTGAATGAAAGCGCCGAGGCCAGCGCCGTCCTCACCCGCCAGCCAGTGGTTGCACGAACTGCGCCAACGCCTCCTCCTCCCCAAGAGTCGCCCGCCAAAGCAGCAGCGGCTCTCCCCGGCCCTGGCAGTCAGCCCGGCCGGGCAGGCGCGCCACCCAGTGCAGGCGGCGCGGGTCCCCGGCCAGGCAGAGTTGCGCGAAGGCGGCGCCCAGCTCCTGCTCGCCCGCCGACCCGCACGCGTCCTCCAGCCGAAGCCACCTAGGGGCCGGCCACACAGCACGTCAGCGAATTTAGAGCAGTTTGCGAACCCCCTCTCCCCCTGTGACGCGCTTGAACCCCTCTCAATAATTAAGTAAGGCTTGCGACAACCCTTGTAAATGCAAGAAATGAAAATAAATTATACCCCAATAAGGAACTTAGTAATTTTAGTACTTGAGTTGTATATAAATCTAATGATAATTAAAGTAGGGATTAGTTGGCGATGCAACTAATTCCTACTTGCGGCAACTAACAATAAGACTGGTTGTTTTTTGTTTTGTTATTTAAGGTCGCATCAACTACTAGGTCATTAGCGACCACTATTGCTTGTAACGGTATGGTAACTGTGGGTTGACCCAATAATGATGATGATAGGGGGTGAAAGGACGAAACACAATACAACCATGCCCGAGGCGGGACTCGAACCCGCGATCCTTCGGTCCGAGATCGCTATGGCACTACTGCCTTAGCGATCTCGGCCACCGGATCGGCAAGACTGCGGTTGGTTGTGAGTGAAAGAAGAATTCATGGGCGAGAAAATGTTTCATCACAGGATTTACACATGCCATCGAGAACGACGACTGAACCTATTAAGCCAATTTAAATGAATTTTAGTATATTCAAGTACTGCGTATTAGTTCTGAACATTTTCTTCGTAGACTTACAGATTCAATAAAAAAAAGTTGACGAAATTAGTCCATTAATTATGACAATTTAGAACTAATAACTTGAATTTATTTGTTTTTAAACAAATTAATTAGTTTGTATTTTAATGTTCGACAACACTCATAGAAAGGAATTATTTTAGCAAGTATTGGAAAATGGAAAAAAATAAATATATTACTTAACACTAAACTAATACCCCCCAACCCTACGTATCGCTGCGTCAAACCCCCTCCCCCTCTTTACCGATGCGTAATTTATGAATGAGCCCTAAAGAAAATTGTCGCGGGGGGAAATGAGCAAGCTGGGCGGGAAGAAATGTGCAATTACTCGCAACGCAGTATGCAAATGCAGTATCTGGCGCCCTCAATCTTCCTGCCTTGTGCAGCTCTTGCGGAATGAATACAAGAGTAGGACGTGGGCAGAAGCAAGCAAAAATTGACATGCAAGACGTAAATCAAAAGCTGTGCTGTAAGGCAAGTAGATTGAGAGGTATTTGTGCGAGGGGCCGACAGAAAATCAGATGACTTGTGCTTCCCGCCTTGTTTCTGCCGAGTGCAAATTAAGTATGTGCCAGTCATTTGTCAAATATTCGTCTATTTATTTACATTACAATTAATTAACATGCTTGTAAATGTGAATGGTGCATTTAAATAATTACTTGTAAGTAGCTAAGGGAATTACCCTTCCTCTATAAAAACAAACGGTTATATTACATTTTGCACTTCCTATGATTTTTCATTTTCATACGTGGCAATGCGTAAAGTAGATTAGGTTGACGTTGGCTTCCATACTTTTCTTTTGGACATGAATATCACTCCACAGTGAGTTATTTAATGTCAAATTGTTTTTGGTAGCGTGACAAAATTTTACGTGAGCTTGGTTTTCAATCATATCTCATAACAAACATTTCTGACAATTGCATGATTTCCATTTATGCTGTGAGCTAGTACTTCCGGGGTTGACGTATTAAGCAGCAGATCTTTATCAATCACAATTCGAAATGTCAGGTGATATATTATACATTCAATAATATCATATTTCCTAAACAACTTTCTATAGAGTAAATAAAAGATTTATGTAGCTTTTTCTTCGATAACTTAAAAAAACTATGCATGAGAAAGTTTTTCTATTAGAAGTTGCAACAAATGAAACTTTTACTTCTTGAAAAATTAGGCCAGTAAGGTGCCAAACGTTTTCTTGCCATCTTGAAGAGCACAGATTATCTATATATATATATATATATATATATATATATATATATATATATATATATATATATATATGTTACAATATTTCAAGATATTGCTTTAGTTTACTGTATTTTTGAGGGTATATTAGCGTTGACGATAAAACAAACATACTTCCTTAATACCACCTTGTTTATACGTAATGTTTATAAGGATAGTTTAGTTGGGTGTGTAAACGCAATGTTGGCAACTAACCCACATCTTAATTGTGTTTATATTCGACCCAGAGGACAAATTCCCCGCGTGGACACATAGGACTTTTGCCTTCCTTTTCACTCCTCCACACGCACGCTATGTGCTATGTACCCTCTAAAAGTAATCATCCCCCTTAACAATCCCTTCAGTCCCGTATTTCGCCGCCGTGTCAACTCAGCTACTGACCTTCCAGACTAGTGTTGGTGTCCAAAAAATGCGCAACTCAAAAACTCTTATTTTTAACGCAATAATTTGTTCGTTAACAGAATTAGCTCTCTTAAGAATCACCCTTCGAATTTCCCAGCGCGTTGCGCGCTACCTTTCTGCGTTCACGCCCATCGTCATGCTGTGGTGGTGCAAAGGCTGGCGAGAATCGTCTCGCTGCCGCAGCGTCTCAACCTCCTCGGCGGTGAAGCCGCTTAGGGCAAGTAGCTGGCGCGCGGGATCTAAGGCGGTGAGCACGTCGGCGCGGAGAAGAGCACAGTGATGGAGAGAGCGGTCCAAGTGACACGTGTCGTCGAAGGCGGGGTTCGCGGGGCCCAAAGCAGGCATCGCATCACCCGATTGCGCCTTCACCAACGCGCTAAGCAGCGGACCGTCCACTTCGCCGCGGACTCCAGGCCAAAGGGCTTCCAGGTCCCTAAGAGACATCGCATCACCCTGGAACACAAGCACATCGACCTCCCATGTAGATCCACCAACAGCGGCCTGTCTACCTCGCCACTTGGAGCAGGACAAACACCTTCCACGTCTCTAACAAACATCGTCCAGCTCTCATTTTTAGCACACGCAGATTCCCCTGGCCCCACTTTCAGAAGCAACACTTACGCTTCCTCATGGAGCCCATGCCAAAATGCTTCCAGGTCTCTACGAAACAGCAGATCGCGCTGGAATACAAACACATTCATCTCTCTTCTAGATCACCAGCGACCTGTCTACCTCACCACTTAGAGCAGGTCAAACAACTTCCGTCTCTAACAAACATCGTCCAGCTCTCTAATTTAGCACGGCCTTTCTACCTCACTACTTAGAATAGGACAAACAACTTCCACGTCTCTTACAAACATCGTCTAGCTCTCATTTTTAGCACACGCAGATTCCCCTGGCCTCACTTCAGAAGCAGCCCCTACGCGTCCTCATGGAGCCCACACCAAAATGCTTCCATCTCTTCAGGAGACATCACCTTTCCCCTGAGCAAGCTACGGATCTGCTCAGCAGCGGGCCCTGTACCTCCCAAAGAAGCCAGTTTTTTCCGTAGACTATAATTTGACGTCAACGCGTGTTTATTCTTTAGGCCGCGTAAAGCTGTGGGGAAAGGGATCGGGCAATAGAATGAAGGCCCCGAGCCCCGAAAAAAGAGGAATTTGTAACATTTATTACAGTCAATGTGTTATTATTGAATTCAAATGATTTAGAGTCCAAACGTCCATCTTCCCGCTAGGACTGTTGGCTTGGGGTTTCACTTTGAGTAGTTGGAGTGCCCGCGCTCCAGGCGTAGTTCAGTCTCTAACGGGTGACGCAGCGGCCGGGGAAATGACTGCTGCCGAGGGGAGATCCGGGCTCTTAAACGCCCTGCACGCTCTGCAACCCCTCCCTCTTGGACAGAAGCTCAGTCTTCGAAGGGTCGACGGCACGAGCGCAGACAATCCTCCGACATATCGGCCGGCCAAAGATCGATTGATGGCCTGCGGTCCCCAGAAAACGTCGACGACAAACGCCAGCCAATCAATGGCACCTGTTACCCCCACGTGACCATGACGCACTAGAAGCTAGGCGAATTGCGGATGCAAACTGCTTGAAAAAAATTCTCTACGGAGCGCATTTAGATTTAGCAATACGGCGAAGGTGGCAATATTTCTCTGGGGCACGTGTCTATAAATTTCGTTCAATAAGACATATTTGGGGAGAAGTGACAAAAATAATATTAAGTTATTTTGAATTGTACTATTTTCCATAATTGAGTTGTATTAAAAATATATGGAATTAATTTAAAAACCGTGAAATTAGATATTTCTGAAGAATGGAAGTAAAGTCTGATAACAGCAGATTCCATTGTAGTCATGTAACATTGGCCAAATGTCCCCCAAAAACATTGTGCATTCTAAAATATCTCGTGTGTATAAATAAAATAGTAAAGAGAATGTTTACTTTAACAACACTAAAGCTATGTTATATCATTTTTTGGGAAAGAAAAAATACCACATCACTTACCTGAAATTTCAGTTTGACATCCATCATGTTTTCTTGGGCCTCTGGAATGAGATGTTCAAGTCTCCAGTCTTCGGTAATGTTCTCACACGCAATTGACTTTGGGAAATCGTCAGAGGTGGATCGCAGAACCAGAAGCTTCACCTCAGGATCTTGGACTACAGCCGCCGCAAACTCTTGCATCTGTGTAAAAAATGTATATCTATTAGATTTGGGATTTGTTTTATTCGTAACACTTGTGTTGATAATGAAACGTAATTTCACAACAACGTTAATCACATTGTTTCTTTTATAATGCATTTCCGCAAATAATTGCCCACTTGACGACCCATTTTAAACCGGGTGTACCGAAAGAAGAAACAATCATTTTGACCAATCATATACATCAAACTACTCATGTGGAAAATAAAGGAAAAGGAGCAGTAATGAGGTCTCAAGATGAAAACAAAGAGGAAATAATGAATGCGCATGCATCAGACTCAGAAACGAGCAACTATAATCATTGTATACAATTATATGAAGTTTTTTATGACATTATCGCACAGATTTTAGTCCATGCCCCGACTATGAACCCCAAAATCGAGAAGTTAACTTATCTTTTCCCTCATTCCTATTTTCTAAAACTCTTGTCAATAATCCCTACCCAAATCCCGAATTCCCTCCATCTGACAACTGAGAAATTAATAGATTTTCCTTTCACATTGCTCAGACGAAGATTAGGCTCGCAGTAATATCAGCCTTATTTACATACATTTATTTTTGTTCTATACAATATCATTCAAAACGTTAATTCAGGTGGCATTAATACGCTGGAATATGTTCTGTGTAGATCAATAAAAGGGTTTGCGGGAAACAATTATTGTTCATCATGTGCGGTCTGGAAGGAAGCTGCATAAGCGCGTCGCCCTTAAGAGGTGGCACTGTTAGTTAAGTGCCGACAGGAAGGAAGGCGCTTAAGCGAGTCCCACCTGAGAGAAGGCATCGTTCGCCAAGTGTGGCAGAGTTCCTCCCGCGCTTGCGCCGTCTTCGCGCTCGCAAGGCGCACGTCCACCAACCGCATGGCCCTTAGTCTGTACAGTGGTTGCTTTGCGTGTGTCAGGTGGGGAGCTGTGCCAACGACGCCCTCCTACAGCGGAAGAGTTCCTCCCGCGCTGCGCGTCTTCGGCCTCGGCAAGCGCACGTGCACCAAAAACCGCATGGCCTTTAAAGTCTGTACAGGTGCGTGTGCTTGCGTGTGTCAGTGCGGGAAGCTGTGCAACGGACCGCCCTCTACCAGCGAGATTCCTCCGCGGGGGCTGCGCGTTTCTTCGGCTTCCGCAAGCGCCACCGTGCCACCGACCGCCATTGCTTTTAGTCTGTTTTACAGGTGGGCTGTGTTGTGACATGGCGGGGAAGCTGTGCAAACGACGCCCTCTACCAAGGCGAGAGTTCCTCCCGCGGCTGCGCGTCTTCGGCTCGCCAAGCGCACGTGCACCGACGCATTGCTTTAGTCTGTACATTGGTTGCTTTGTGTGTGACAGGTGGGAAGAAAAAAAACTGTGCAACGACGCCCTCTACCAGCAAATCTCTCTCTGG